GAGAAAGGAATCTGGGGAAGCAGAGTTCAAGTTGTCAGTAGGCAAGCAGTGTTTTAAGCTGTTGGTTTCGGAGGTTACTGGCTTCAGAGACTGACATGTCCAAAGGGTAGTAGAAGATTGACTTTACATATTAGCAAGTCAACAAGTATAACAGTTACTGAAAAACTCTGGAGACTGGTAAGGCAAGTGCTGTTGTTGTTGTTGCTGATTGCCTTCATGTTGAGCATGACTTATAGCAACCGTACGAACAAAAGGCCTCAAGCCCCTCTACATTTATTAAAGTTTATTAAAGTTCATAGAGTTTCTGGAGGCATGTTATTTATGAAGTGGATGCCACTCCTGCTTCCAAACTTGTCATAGTATGTTAATGTTGTTATGTGCCATCAAGTTGCCTGCAATGTATAGCGACCTTATGTACAGCAGTTCTGAACCATTCCCTGTCCTGAACAAGTCTCACTAATTCTGACACACCAACCCCCATTGCCCCAATTGCTGTACCAATCCATCTCATCTGGGGTCTCCCTCTCCTGTGCAGTCCATCCACCCTTACAAGCATGATCATGATGTCCTTCTCCAAGGACTGATCTCTCGTGGCCACATGCCCATAGTAAGTGAGGCAGAGCTTCAAAATCCTAACCACCAAGGACAAACTTGGTTTCACCATCTCTAAGACCTATTTTTTTTTCTTGCAAGTCCATGGTATGTTTAAGACTCTTCTCCAGAACCACATCTCAAACTTCTTCTGTCATCCTAAGTCATTGTCCAACTCTCTGAAGCTTAACAAGTAATTGAGAAGACCATGGCCTAGATTAGGTGCACCTTTGTATCTAGACTGATATCATTTCTCTTCAGCACTCTGGAGAGGTCCACAACAGCAGATTTTCCCAATGCAATTCACCTTTTGATTTCCTGACTGCTGTTGTTGGAGTGTAGATTGTGGATCCGAACAATCTGTAATTGCTAACAACTTCAATCTCTTCTCCATCTATTATGGTGCTTTCAACTGGTGCAGGGGTGAGAACATTTGTTTCTTAATGTTGAGCTCAATCCATACTGAAGACTACAGTCAAATGTTGAGCTAACAGAAAGCTTTCTGAATTTCTTTTTTTTTCTTTGCCAGAGAGTCTAAATATAAATACTATGTAGGCCATACACTTGAGTTGTTATTATCTACTGCCATGTTTGGACCTACCCATAGCTGACCCTTCAGCAGTTTCCTGAGACTGTTAATTTCATGGCAAGATGTTACTTTTTTCCTGTGGAGCATATGGTGGATCCAAATCATGTTCTTGTGTTGCTAGCATAACTCCTTACTATTAGACCACCAGAACTCCCTAAATCAGAAAATGGGTTAAATCAGCCTTTTATAGTTGAACTTTTAATCTTCCTTATTAACATCAAATTATTGTTATTAATGTTTGCCATTGTACTGAGTCAGAACAGACTGATAATTGAACTTCCTGTGGCTTGTCAGAGGTAGTAAATCATGTGAGAGAAGATTGGCCATTAGAATTTATAATATAGAGAATAGTTAAAGTATACTTGAAAGGTTAGAGGGTTAGCATAGACGCATAAGACCAGCAGTGTCATTGATTGCCCAAGTGGCTGTGGCAACTGGGTCAAGTGTGTCTGACAATGAGATTGGCTCATAATAGGGCAAAGTTCAGAGCCATTGTTTGTAGGGTGGCTGTTAATCATAGTAGGCTTGATGGCACATAACAATAATAACAAGTAGGGTCATGGCTATACTGACATGGTATACAATAGTAATCAGAACAGTGGACAAATAATCCTTAGTTAAAACAATTTGGCTACATCCATAAAAATGTTTAATATTTCTGAGTTTTACTCAAGCAGTACCATATAGAATAGTAATTTTTCCCGAGGAATCATTGTTAACTACTCTTCTAGGGAATAAAGTAATATGGTACAACACAAAATTGATAATTAATCCAGTGGTAACTGGTTATGAGTATACTTGTTGTATGCTCATGGCATTGAGTTGTATGGAGATTATTTTAGGGATTATTGAGCCATTTCTCATTGACAGCACTTAGTAGTTATCGGGGGGGGGGTTGTTTGGTTGGTTTTGGTTGTTTAAATTAAATGCTTTTAAATGTTTTAAATAAAAGTGACACAAAACAAATGAATGTCTATCTCATTGATTTCACATGCAAGCAAGATTCTACTGAAGATTATACAAAAACGACTGGAACAGCACATCAGCAGAGAACTACCAGAAATCCAGGCTGGGTTTGAAAGGGGTCGTGGTACTGGGGATATTCTAGCTGATGTTAGATGGATCTTGGCTGAAAGTAGGGAATACCAGAGGAATGTCTATCTGTGTTTCATTGACTATGCAAAGGCATTTGACTGTGTAGATCATAACAAACTGTGGCTGACTCTGAGAAGAATGGGAATCCCAGAACACTTGATCGTTCTAATGCGAAACTTATACTTGGACCAGGAGGCAGTCGTCAGAACAGAGCAAGGGAACACTGCATGGTTCAAAATTGGGAAGGGTGTATGCCAGGGATGCATCCTATCTCCATACCTTTTCAACCTGTATGCAGAACAGATTATCCGGGAGGCTGGGCTCTATGAGGAGAAATGTGGGGTCAAGATTGGTGGATGAATTATCAACAATCTGCGTTATGCAGATGACACAACCGTGCTTGCTGAAACTGAGGAGGACCTGAAGCACCCACTGCAGAGTGTCAAGGACTGCAGCCTACAATATGGATTGAGGCTCAATGTCAAGAAGACAAAGATTCTCACCACTGGACCAATTGGCAGCATCAGGATGGATGGTGAAGAAATTGAGATTGTACACAGCTTTACTTTGCTTGGCTCCATAGTCAACAGTCTTGGCACCAGCAGCCAGGAAATTAAAAGGCGCATTGCCATGGGAAAGTCTGCTGTTAGGGACCTCTCCAGAGAACTGAAGAGCAATGGTGTCTCCCTAGAGACTAAGATGCATTTGATACAGGCCATGGTCTTTGCAATCACTTTTTCTGCATCAGAGAGTTGGACAATGACCAAGGAGGATAGAAGGAGAATTGATGCCTTTGAGTTGTGGGGCTGGAGAAGAGTATTGAGAATACCATGGACTGCTAGGAAAACAAACAGATTCATCCTGGAAAGGATTAAACCGGGTGGCTCCTTGGAGGCAAGGATTCTGAAGCTCCGTCTAACATACTTTGGACATGTTGTGAGGAGAGACCAGTCCTTGGAGAAGGACATCATGCTTGGGAGGGTGAAAGGACAACGCAGGTGGGGAAGGCCCTCTATGGGGTGGATTGATTCAGTGACTGGGATAATCGGGATGGGAGTGTTGGAGACAGTGTAATTGGCACAGGACAGAGCAGAGTTTAGGGCCGTTGTACATAGGGTTGCTATGAGTCGCAGGTGACTCGACGGCACATAACAACAACAACAACAACAGTTGTGATGGGAATGTCTGCTGTTAGGGACCTCTCCAAAGTACTGAAGAGCAGTGATCTTTGCAATCACTTGTTATGCATCAGAGAGTTGGACAATGACTAGGGAGGATAGAAGGAGAATTGATGCCTTTGAGCTGTGGTGCTGGAGAAGAGTATTGAGTGTACCATGGACTGCTAAGAAAACAAACATATTCATCTTGAAGAGGGTTAAACTAGGCGACTCCTTGGAGGCAAGGATCCTGAGGCTTCGTTTGACATACTATGGACATGTTGTAAGGAGGGACCTGTCCTTGGAGAAGGACATGCTTGGGAGGGTCGAGGGACGGCGCAGGAGGGGAAGCCCACTAGAAGGTGGTTTTATTCAGTGACTGGGATAATCTAATCGGGACGGGAGTATCAAAGACAGTGCGATTGGCACAGGACAAAGCAGAGTTTAGAACTGTTGTAAATAGGGTCACTGTGAGTTGCAAGTGACTTGATGGAACGTAACAACAACAACATGCTTGCCAGTAAAGAGATAAGAGACTTCCAGTGATTGGATGTTCAGAAGCAACCATCAGCTTTGTCTTCTGAGACACCTCTGAATGGGTGAACTTCTAACCTTTTCATTAGCTACTGAGCATGTTAGGGTTTTGCACCATCTAGCTCTTCTGATACTGGAAGAGCCTAAGATGACATCCAACTTAAATTTCCAAATCAACAGAGAAACAACAACAAACAAATTGCAATAGATATATATGGTACCATTTTATTGTGATGCACTCAAACGTGTATATTTTATGCAGTGCTTATTTTGAGCAGTCACATTTATAGGTTTTAGAAATACAGATAGGAGCAAAACAGATGCATTTTCTGTCTTTTCAGAGCTTATCTGGTAGCAGAAAAAGATACCACAAGTAAATATATATTCACTGTGCTCCTTCACAGATAAGTATTATGAAGATACATTTTAAAAGGAATCGCGAAGGTGGTCAAGGAAGGCCTCTCTGATCAGATCTGGCTGAGCAGATAGTTTTAAGCAGTGAACTGAATGGAGAAAGATAGATGTATTGCAGATAGTACCTGGATGAGGAGTCAGTACAATAGTAGTTGATGGAAATGTTTCAAGTTTTCAAAAGAAGCAAGAAAATGAATGCCTATATTAATGAGTATCTTAAGGAGAAAAACTTGAGAGGCATATCCTGTTTTCTTAATAGTGAATATAATAACTGGAAGTTGCAATTGTGTGAGACTGTTGTGGTTAATGTTATACATTTATGAAATTTGCAAAATTTGCATGACTTTTCCTACATTTTTGACCAGAAAAAAAAATGTTTCAAAATTTTGTCTGTTTTTTGGTAAGCCAAAATCATACTGCAGGAATGCCTGAACTCCAAATATTGGCATAGATTATTGTTCAAAGAGAGATACCTATTTAATAATTACACTGTGTGTTCTCATTGCAGTTTGTTATAGTAACAACTGCTAACAGCAACCTAATTGGTGTTTGCATTTGTGCAGAGTTAAGACATGCATGTTAACATAATTCATACATATTGATTTTCCCTTTTTTTTTAGGTCAAGGCTTTTCAGGTGATTATCATGCATATTTTGGATTGCAAGTAGATGAAGATGCATTGATTTATCTCATGTTGGCGAATCACTTGACTCATACTTTGTATCCAGAGTCTATAACAATAGCCGAGGTAAAGATATAAGGTCCTCTGATCCCTTTCATAGAGAACATCTTGTCATTAAAATATTTGAATAATTAATTTCATGTTGTCAATACTAGCATAAATGCAACAACATCCTGATTCTAATGCAACTACCCTGAATGGCTGGTACATTATTTAGGATTTCTTGTTTTCCTATTAGGAGATAATTTACACTAATTAATTGTCACCATTCCATCATTAAAAAGATAATGCCAGTGGTTAGAAAGTAAAATGTCCTAATCAGTGGACAGGTCTTTCCATCATGAGACCTTTAGCAGAGAAAAGAATTGAATGTTAATGTCAGTCTATGTACTCACCCCCATCTTCTTTCTTTTCTGCTTTAATCATTATAGATGTTATGGATCACTGCTTGCAAGCTTCTTTGAAACCATTCTTGTTCTGATGTGATTACCTTTTTTGTTTGTGTTATTGCTCTCATATTGCCAAATGTTCACCAGTTATTCATGATTACTGAAAGTTCATGATTAACTGTCCCAAAACTGCACTGTAATTATATAATTTGGTTTACACATAATTGACAATTCCCCTCTTGGTGATAAATGTGATAAATTAAAAAGTTTGTTAAATGCTTATGCTAATTTAGATTTAGTACTAAAATTCCCCTGGTCTTCTGAGTCCGCTAGCTAGGAATTATTATTAAAATTGAATTTAGCAAGTTAAAACTGTTCTATACATAGTATAGTGTTTAGCATGTAAAATTAACGAGACTGCCATCAACAGAGTCACGGTGTATTTTCATGTTATTTGTATTTACTTTTCTGGAATAAAGTCGAAAGTAACTGTCTCCTTTCTATAAAATTCAGAGTGCTTATTCCTATTTACTGCCCATTAGTTTTCAAAACCAGAACTATCCAACTTGATCAAATTCCTGATTAATTTATAGGTAAGAGAAGATAGTTTCTTTTAAGTCCAATGCTGACTCAATATACTCTGGAATTGAGTAATAAATAAATAAATATAATCAACAAAAACACTGCTCTTAAGAGAGAGTCCATGTTGATTCTTAGTGACCTTAAAAGACAGAATATAACTGCTTCATAGAATTTCTTAGACTGTAATCTTTATAGAATTAGATGACCACATCTTTCTTCAAAAAAGTGGCTAATGGGTTTATATTTCTGACCTTTATTAACAGCTGAAGCTTAGCAATCAGGTGTCTTTGGAAATAGAGCAAAAACAAATAAACAAACAAAACAAACAAACAAAAAACCCACTGCCATTCAGTAGAGTCTAACACATGGCAACCCTCCATTGGGTTTCCAAGACTATAAATGTTTAAGAGAGAATATGGCTCGTTTTCTTCTGTGGAGCCCATGATTGTAGATTTGAACTGTAAGCCTTTTAGTTAGCAGCCTGGTACGTTATACACCATGCCACAAGGAACTAGACCAAGGGGATCTGAATTCTCAAAATAAGTCTTAAGTAGAAGTGAAAACAAGAATTGTTATATGATTTTGAAACTCAGTATGATGTCACTTATGTTCCTTGCAACACTTGATCATAGTTTATGGATGTGCAAATAACTTGGCTTCAAGTAGTATTGTGTAAAAAGAGCAAGGACCATCTGGGAATGGTCATGTCTGACCCTTAACAACTTCACCAAGGGGAACTGTCCCAGTCAATAAGATCAATAGCACAAAACCCATTTCCATGAGGTCAGACATGTCTCACACTCACCTATACCTCTTTCTACTCATCTCAGTACCAATCTTATGGTGTTGTTGGGTTCCAAATCCACTGTAATTGCTCACAGACCACACAGAACAATGTTAGGTAAGTCAAAAGGTTATATTCAGGTTAATAGCAGGATACCACAAAAGAGCTCCCAATAATTATTCATTCATAGGCACCTCAGTTTTGAGCCTCATGCTTTAGCCCGGTTTTTCAAAGCTCTCAGTCCTGCCAGTATTAGCCTTCTCAATCCCAGTTGTTCAACATATTTAGACAAAAGTTCTTAGCTCTGATTCCAATGATGTTGCGGTCCCAAGGTCTCATCTCATCTCAAGTCTCTAGTTTGACCAAGGCTGCTTTTGCCATAGGTGATATTGTTGTTATTAGGTGCCATTGAGTCTAATATGGCCCATAGTGACCAGTGACCCTATGAACAAAGGATCTGTACCTTGTTCTATTCTGTGTCATCATCACACTTTGTGATACACTAGAACCCATTGTGGTAGTCACTGTGAAACCACTTGGCTAATTATCTTTCTCTCCTTCATTGACCCTAGTCTTTCCAAACATCATGTCCCTTTCCAAGTAATAGCCTCTCCTAGCAACATGTCTGAAGAATGTGAGGTAAAGTTTTATCTTTGCCTCCAAAGAGTGCTCTAGCTACATTTTCTCCAATACATATTTGTTCTTTTAGCAGTCTGTGGATGTTCAGTAGCAACACCACAGCTCAAAGGCATCAATTCTTCTGTAATCCTTATTCCAGCTCTCCAATGAATAAGAAAGTGATCAGAAAGACCATGGCCTAAATCAGACACACCTAGCCCTCAAAATGACATCATTACTCCTCAATAATTTGCAGAGATCTTAAACTGCCGCTTTCCTGGTGCAATACATCTCCTTATTTTTTTTACTGCTAGAACCAAAGATACTGATTTTAGTACCAAGTAAAATGAAGTTATTGACAGTTTCAATCTTTTCTCCATCTATCATGATGCTGTCTATCAATCTCCTAGAGAGCAGCCTTTGAATTTGAATCACATGCCTCTGGGTTGGCAGCACAACCCCTTACCATTTAGTCAACAGAGCTCCCTGAATAAATATATAATGTTCAAAAATACTTCTGCAGGGGAGGCGAATCCTTACGACAGCCTATCACTGCAACATCACTAGTCATCTTTTAATTTGACTTTGTGAAAACTCTTGGAAAGCCATTCTGTCTATAAGTCCAATGTCCTGCATGAGTCTGTTGTTTAGCACATACTCAGCTAATGTTAGAGTACCAAGTGATGCAGTGAATCACTCAACTGCTAAGTAAAAGTTTGACAGTTTTCAGCCTCCTGAAAGGCCAGAAAATTTGTTCCTGAAAGGTCACAGTTTTAAAAATCCTATGGAGAAGAGTTTTTCAATGTTGACATGGTGTTGACATGAACTGATATTGACTGAATGAGAGTTACTTTTGTATGGGCTCCTAGATGTGTTTATAATGAATGAAGTCCCTATAGTATCTGTGAAATGTAACTCATATTGCAACAGATATCATTTCATTTTAGTATTTTCATTTTTGTTAACTGCATGTATTATTTCTATCTTATAAAATATTATATGGAAATAAGATACTTTTCTCAGCACTGGGCTGATTGGCAGCATCATGATGGATGATAAAGAGATTGAGATTGCTGACAGCTTCAGTTTGCTCAGCTCTACAGTTAACGCTCTTTGTATCAGAAGCCAGGAAACTAAAAGACAAAATGCATTGGGAAAGTCTGCTGTCGAGAGACTTCTCCAAAGTACTGAAGAGCAACAATGTCATTCTGGAGACTAAGGTGCACCTGATACAGGTCATGATCTTTGCAATTACTTGCTATCAGAGAGCTGGACAATGATTAGGGATAAGAGAAGGAGATTTGATGCCTTTGAGCTGTAGTGCTGGAGAAGGATATTGAATATAGCATGGACTGCTAGAAGAACAAACAAGTTCATCCTGGAGAAGGTGAAGTCAGGCTGCTCCCTGGAGGCAAGGATTCTGAAGCTCCGTCTGGCATACTTTGGACATGTTACAAGGTGTCGCTTGGAGAGGGACTTCATGCTTTGTCGAGTGGAGGTATAGTACAGTAGAGGAAGACCCTTGATAAGATGGATTGATTCAATCCCTGGGATATTGGAGAATGTGTGCTGGAGACAGTAAGATTGGCAAGGGATAGAGTAGGGTTTAGGGCTGTTGTACATAGTGTTGCTATGACATAACAAGAAGAAGAAGATACATTTAAAATAGATATTATGTTCTTATGAGTGTTCTGGAAGTCTCAGGGTTAACAATGTTTAACATGGAAAATTTCTACTTACCCTGTAAAGTAATGTAAATTTGCTCTCACTTTGAAAAATTTCAACCAGACCCCACTCAGAGTAACTTCATTATAATCGAATTCCCCCATTGCATGTGATATTTTTAAGTAATTGGAATGACTTTTCCTGGGCTTAAGTCACTTAAACTTTCTTACATACATTATTAGGAATATATTTCTTTCATAGTGCAAACAGTCTGTGTTTCACTAATTGCTACATTTACTAGTAGTTGTCAAACACACTAACACAATAAATTATTTTGGAAGTTCAGACCATCAATATATTTCTTTCCCCTAATTTCTTTGTTTGTTTGAGGGTTGGCTTTTGGAGGGTTTTTTTGTTGTTGTTTCATTTTATGATTATTATTAATTTTTTTTGCATGTAGAAGTGTTTAGAGATAGTGTTATGGCAGAAAAATATTTGAGTTGAATCACAGAGAATATGAAATTCCTGTAGGAACGAACTATATTCTAAGAAAAATTTGAGAGTGATATTTGTAGAAAAGTTTGTGACACAGAAAAGAGAAACTAGCTGAAAGGGGCTGAAATAATTTGTTACACCTACATGTTTTGCTAAATCAGAGACTATACCAGATAGTTTAACATATTTTTGTGTTTGATTGCTTATAAAAAGTTCTACTGTTGTAGGAGCGGCCATTTCTGGCCTTCACTAACTCCATGAGGAACAGCTGTTGCCCTTTACAACACCCACAGCACAAAGCCAATTCCAATGAAACAGATGTGTCTTCATGTTCCAAATCTACTCCTACCAATTCTAGTGGCAATTGCTCTTTCCAGAGTTCTCATTCCTTCTCTGTTACATCTACTAATCCATTACAATAACCACACAGAGCCTGCAGGCATATTCATGATTATGGGGTTTATTAGGGAAATTAACAGTCAGAACAAGATATAATTCTTTAGTCAGGACAGCTTCTCAAGCTTGCCCGGAGGCCTTTTGGTCTTCATTCTGGCAACTTTAGGTCAGTGTTGATAAAGCTTTCTCAGTTCTGCCAATTATGATGTCTGTTTAGGTATGTTGCCAGGAGGGACCAGTCACTGAAGGAAGACATCGTGTTTGGAGGGGTAGAGAGACAGAGCAGGAGAGGGAGGCCCTCGATGAGATAGACTGACACAGTAACAGGGGTAAGGGGAGTAAGTGTGTTAGAGGCAGTGAGATTGGCTCACGATAGGGTAGGATTCAGAGCTATAATGTGTAGTGTCACTACAAGTCACAGTTGACTTGACGACATATAGCAGCAACAACATCTTGTCTTCCAGCAAACTTGAGTTAAACCTCTCGGCTTTGGCTTTGACTCTTTAGGGTGGCAGTCCCCAGTCAGTTCTATCTCATATTGGTCCTTTATTCTCCACTGCTGCTTCTGTTGCTCACTTAATGGCACAGGCATCTCTAGTTCAAATAGATATGCAACTGGAATCTCCAGTTCTTTCTAGCTGATAGATTCACTTCTGCTTTAAACCTGTTCTATTTAAGTCTAATGGCATCACAGTCATCTCATTGCTAGTCTGTGTTGTTGTTGTGTACTATCAAGTCAGAATTGACCCATAACAAACTCTGTGGCAGGTTTTCGACACATTTAATCACACGGGAGGAGATTGCCCATCCTTCTCCCTCAGAGAAGCTGGTGGATTCAAAACACATACCTTCAGGGTTGCAACACATCTGTTTTCCATTAGGCCACCAGAGCTCCCTCAATCATAGTCTGCACTCCTTTTTGTATGTTTCTAGCTGAGACCCGATACTCACCTAACTCATATCCTTAGCTTAATCCCATTTAGCCAGCCAGGTGATGAAAATCAGGGCAATGGACTGGGAAAGATAGTTTGCAGTCAACTTATTGCACCACAGTTGTTTATCCATATTCAAGATGATTTGACGAGATTGGCAGGCTCTGTGCCAAATGGCCCAATATCTGATTCTGGCTTATGCATTAAGAAGTCTATGTCTCTAGAGATCCATCACCACAATCACCCGAAGTTTATTCATCTCACAAAGAATATCAACTAAATAAAAACGATGGCAAAGATCTCTTTCAAGTGCAATCTACAGTAGTTTAAACTAACTATACTTAACATTTCAATAGATTTCCATTCTAAAAGTCGATATGAAAAGAACATGTGTAATCAAGAAAAACCATACATATGTGTGCGTGTGTGTATTTACTAAAAATGGTAGCTAATGAACAATGTTTATATAGCATGCTTTACAAGTGTATTTGAAGGACTAGGTACATAATACTAGGTTTATAATAGTTTCTAATACTTAGTTTTCTACCAGTTGCTGCCAAGTCAATTCCAAGTTATTGTTACCCTCCTGTTACCTAACAATAATCCTATGTGAAACATAGGATTTGTCACAGGTTTTTTGGGTTTGTTTTGTTTTGTTTTTTATGACGTGTCTCTTGTTGAACTAAAACATCTCACATTTGGATTAGCAACCAAGACTTAATTTGTTTTCACTACCTTCGGACTTTCTTGTGTTAATGATGTGATGCCAAATCGAAGGAAATAACATCAAAAGCAATTCCATTAGGGATTAAAAATTACCTGGAGTGAAATACTATATAAGAAGATCTTCTTTGAAAGATAACACGTTCTATTTAATGTTGATGCTTATATAGTTGTACATACAAATTCACTTGTTTATAAAAGCCCAGACTTCAATATTAGAAAAAGAAAATTAAAATTTTATAAAACTTGGACTGATATAAATGCCTCAATGTGATTTTCTTTGTTTTAGGATGTTTCAGGAATGCCAGCTCTGTGTTCTCCAATTTCCCAGGGAGGGGGTGGCTTTGACTACCGATTAGCCATGGCTATTCCAGACAAATGGATCCAGGTAAGAGTTTATCTAAATATTTTTAAATTTGAGTGTTGTGTTTTTTATTGTAACTTTGGTTGTGATTATTGGTTACAGGTGGTTGTTGTTGTTGTTGTTATGCGCTGTCGAGTTGTTTTCGACTCATAGCTACACTATGCACAACAGCCCTAAACCCTGCTCTATCCTGCGCCAACCGCACTGCCTCTGACACACCCATCCCAATTACCCCAGTCATCGAATCAATTCATCTCATAGAGGGTCTTCCCCTCCTGTGCTGTCCCTCCACCCTCCCAAGCATGATGTCCCTCTCCAAGGACCCGTCCCTCCTGGCAACATGTCCAAAGTATGTCAGACGAAGCCCCAGAATCCTTGCCTCCAAGGAGTAGCTTGGTTTAATCCTCTCCAAGATGAATCTGTTTGTTTTCCTGGCAGTCCATGGTACATTCAGTACTCTTCTCCAGCACCACCGCTCAAAAGCATGCACTCTCTTTCTGTCCTCCCTAGTCATTGTCCAACTCTCTGATGCATACCAAGCGATTGCAAAGACCATGGCCTGTATCAGGCGCACCTTAGTCTCCAGAGAGACACTGTTGTTCCTGAGTGCTTTAGAGAGGTCCCTAACGGCAGACTTTCCCATCGTGATACGCTTTTTGATTTTCTGACTGCTGGTGCCAAGAGTGTTGACTGTGGAGCCGAGCAAACTGAAGCTGTGAACAATCTCAATCTCTTCGCCATCCATCCTGATGCTGCCAATTGGTTCAGTGGTGAGAATCTTTGTCTTCTTGACATTGAGCCTCAGTCCATAATGAAGGCTGCAGTCCTTGACCCTTCGCAGCAAGTACATGAGTTCCTCCTCAGTTTCAGCAAACAGGGTTGTGTCATCTACATAACACAGATTGTTAATAGATCTTCCACCAATCCTGATGCCACAATTCTCCTCATAGAGCCCAGCTTCTTGGATAATCTGCTCTGCATACATGTTGAAAAGGTATGGAGACACGATGCATCCCTGGCGTACACCCTTCCCAATTTTGAACCATGCAGTGTTACCCTGCTCTGTTCTGACTACTGCCTCTTGGTCCAAGTATAGGTTTTGTGTGAGCACTATTAAATGTTCTGGAATTCCCATTCTTCTCAGAGTCAGCCACAGTTTGTTATGATCCACACAGTCAAATGCCTTTGCATAATCAATGAAGCACAGATAGACATTCTTCTGGTATTCTCTGCTTTCAGCCAAGATCCATCTAACATCAGCAACAACATCCCTAGTACCACGACCCCTTCTAAACCCAGCCTGGACTTCCGGAAGTTCTCTGCTGATGTGCTGTTCTAATCGTTTTTGGATAATCTTCAGTAGAATCTTGCTTGCATGTGAAATCAATGATACTGTTCTGTAGTTTCCACACTCAGTTGGGTCACCTTCCTTTGGAATGAGAACAAATATAGATCTCTTCCAGTCAGTTGGCCAAGTGGTTGTTCTCCAGATTTCTTGGCACAACTTGGTGAGCACATCCAGGGCAACATATGTTATTTGAAATACTTCAATTGGTATACCATCTATTCCTGGGGCCTTATTTTTTGCTATTTCCTTCAAAGCAGCTTGAACTTCTTCCTTCATCACCATAGGCTCTTGCTCATATATTATTTCTTTAAATTCCTCTGTATCTGCCAATTCCTTTCTCTATATATTCCTTCCATCTTCTTTTAATACTTCCTGGATCATTTAATATTCTGCCCAAAGCATCCTTGATTACAGCAACTCTAAGTTTGAAGTTGTTCTTCAGTTCCTTGAGCTTAAGAAATGCTGAGCGAGTTCGGCCCCTTTGATTTTCCGACTCTAGCTCCTCGCACATTTCTTTGTAGTATTTTGCTTTGTCATCCGAGCAGCCTTTTGGAATCTTCTGTTCAGCTCTTTAGTATCTTGAATTCTTCCTTGTGCTTTTGCTTCTCTGTGCTCCAGTGCAATCTTCAGAGTCTCTTCTGACATTCATTTTGGTCTTTTCTTCCTCTTCTGTCTTTGTAATGACCATTTGCACTCTTCCTGGATGATACCTTTGACATCCTCCCACAACTCATCTGGTCTTTGCTCATTAGTGTTCAAGGCCTCAAACCTGTTCCTGAGATGATTCTGAAATTCAGGTGGTGTGAAATCGAAGTTACAGGTGGTACAATTATTTAATTATCCTTCTAATATGTTAACGGGCACTGGTGGCCTAGTATGAAACATGCTAGACTACTAAACTGTGATTTGTCCATAGTTTGACTCTTCCACATGCTGTTCAGGATAAAAATGAGACCTCCTTCTCCAGTAAAGATTTACAGCCTTGGGAAAGAAGGTTGTCCTGAGTCAGAATTGTCATGAAGATGGTAGATACTAGTTGTTGATTCTTGTGACTATACTTATACTTCTAGAGTTATTTAGTGTATTCACCCTTGTATAATTAAGACAAAATGACATTTATGTAATAAAAGAAACTGTTTATTATCAGTTTAATGTATGAAACTTTAGTGCTGTAATTTTAAAAACACACTAAACTCTATCAAAGCACTTCTTACTGCCTGAAATCATTAATTAATGTACAAGTTATTCTCTAAGTCTTCACATCTGCCTCAAAGTATAGAATTGTTCAAAATACTAGTAGGTCTTCATTGCTCTAGGATAAACACTCAAGAGTACAATAACTGGGTCATACAGTAGCTCTGATGACATAATCTGTAGAAAATTGTACTGCTAGCCCAAAGGTGGCATTGCTCTGGGAGAAACAGTCATGTAGGGGAATGATGTACAATTTTTAAGCTCTGAAAACCTTTTAGGGGGTCAACTCCTTGGTGGAAATGGGTTTGAGTATGAAATTAGTATAGTAATAAAAAAATGTACAGTAGCAGTATAATATGTTAAGCATTTGGGATGCTAATTGAAAGGTTGGTGGTTCAAATCTATAAGCCAATCCATGAGAGAGTGGTAAATATAAAATCAAACCTGTTTCCATTTAGATGTACAGACTTTGAAACCCTGTTGAGTGGTTCTATTTGGCCATATGGTGGCTTTGAATTGCGGTTCATTCAACAGCAGAGTTAGTTAATTAAAAAAAAAATAGGGACTGCATGTTTTACCATTTTGGAAAAAAATGTTTTTAAAAAAAATTATATGGCTAAGCTGTCTTCCAGAGTGGCTATTTGTTATTGCAAAAGATGTTGCCACTGTTTAATCAGGAAAAGTTTTGATCTGTTGTTGACAGGGTTGCAGTGAGTAGAAGTTAACTCAATAGTACTTTACAACACCCAAAATATGTGTGTAGTTATATCATATTGATTTAAAATTAAATTTCCCAAATGACTGATTGTATTCAACATCATTTTGTTGAATGATACAAAACATCTCTTCTTACACTTACTTGCCATCTGTATACTCTTGTCAGTGAAAGATCTGCTTATATATTTTCATCTTTTTTATTGTAAAGTTTTTAGAGTTCTTTATATATTTTACATTCAAGTTTTTGTCAGATATATACCCTAGGTTGACAAATATTTGCTCCTAGTCTGTCATTTCCCTACCCAGACTCTACATTGGCTTGCTTGCATGAAGTTTTTCTATTATTATTATTACAAAGTGGAGGCCAATTTATCAGTTTTTCATTTTCTAGAGTATATTTTTGATGTCAAGCCTAAGAACCTTTCTTTGATCATCGCTAAATCCTGGATATTTTATCTTGGTTCTATTTTTATGTGCTTATGTGTATTTTCATTGAAGGTTTTCTAGTTTTAAATTTACATTTAACTTGAACTAGTGTTTAGGTAAAATAGAAAACTAATGTTAGGTTAATTTATTTTTCTTTTTGTCTTTGGATATCCAAATGTCCCATTGAAGTATTTATTATTTCATTTTTAGGTGGAAAGTTTACAAATCATATCAATCTTTCATACAATCATTTGTAAAAATTTGTCTTATACCATTCATTACCATTGTTGTTGTTGTTGTATACTGTAGAGTTGGAACCAACCCATAACTAACCCTCTGGTAGGTTTTAGAGGCACTTAATAGAATGAGAAGAGATCGGCCATACTTCTCCCATAGAGCAGCTAGTGGCCTGGAACCACGTTTTTGGGACTGCAGTGTAATTTCTTGCCATTATAGAATTAGTTACAATGTCTAATCAGCCCCTTCACAGAATTATTTCCTTGCCAGTGTCAAATTCAGTCTTTCATTGTTTTTGTTCAGACATTCCTCTAGGTGGTATAGCCCTGGTGTACAAGTTGCCGTCCTGTGGTCACTTGTGGTTGCTGTGAGGCTGAACACTGTGGCACGGATGTGTCAAATGCTTCAATGTTTGGCCACCAATGCGGACAGAGAGTGGGGTGGAGCTCCCGCATTAAACAAGCGTGGAAGGAGGAGTGGTATCCACTTCCACAATAGCTTTCCTCCGGAAACCCTATGAACCTGGAGAGAGGATGAAAGGCACCCAAGTGTCAAGGACTCTCCTTCGTAGGGTCGCTATGAGTTGCCTGCAACTCGAGGGCACTTAACAACAACAACAACAGTGTCAAATTAATTGAACATATATGTGTATATATTAGTTTACAAAAACTAAGAGCAGTAGTGTTGTGGGTAACATGTTGGTTTAAGAGTTCAAATCTATGAACGTTTGTTGCTAGAAAAAGAAAGGCAGCCTCCTTCTATGAAGATTTACATGCTTGGATATTTATGGCAATGGTTTTGGGTTTTGGGGAATATCGTTGATGCTGAGCCTCATTACCATAAATCTGGAGACTTAAACCTACACAAATTATAATCTTAGATATATTTTAGATGGTCTTAGATCTATGGGTCAGAAGTTGGAAATGTCTTTTACTGAGCTAACATCAGCATATAAGCAAGGCTGTATTTCTAATGGTGATTGTAATTTTTCCTAATTTTTTTCTGGCTTCTAAAATCTGCCCACATTCTTAGCTATTGATGGATGCCTTTTTCCATCCACAAAGCCAGCAAGTTGGCACCTTCAGTCCTCCTCTAATTTTGTTTTTGTTGTTGTTATGTGCCATCGAGTTGCTTGAGACCCATAGCGACCCTATGTACAACAGGTCTAAACTCTGCTCTGTCCTGTGCCAATCTCACTGTCTCTAATCCCGGTTGCCCCAGTCACCGAATCACTCCATCTCACAGAGCGCCTTCCCCTCCTGCGCCTGCCCTACACCCTCCCAAGCATGATGTCCCTCTCCAAGGACCGGCCTCTCCTTACAACATGACCAAAGTATGTCAGACGAAGTCTCAGAATCCTTGCCTCCAAGGAGCAGCCGAGTTTAACCCTCTCCAGGATGAATCTGTTTGTTTTCTTAGCAGTCCATGTCACCCTCAGCA